GGAGAGCCCAACCCAGAGTCCCCAGGCTCAGTTTCCTCAATGGAAGGCATGTTGGTGGGATTGAGGAGGTCTTCGAAGTATTCCGCCCACCGGTCCACAACGTCCCGAGTTGAGGTCAGCAGCACACCATCCCCACTATAAACAGTGTTGGTGCTGCACTGCTACCCCCTTCTGAGACGCCAGATGGTGGACCAGAATTGACTCAAAGCTGTACGGAAGTCTTTCTCCGTGACCTCTAAAAAACTCCTCCCATGTTTGAGATTTTGCCAAAAAAACTCAGGAGAGGCCATGGAGACCACACAAAACACATGTAGTCTCCATGGCTACATGGCTCCACCCATGTCCGAGTTTTTGTCAAAAACTTGGGCATGAAACGAAATATATATTTCATCTGAAGAAAAAGTTGAATTGCTAAAGATGAGTAAAATATGTAAATTTGATAAAGCAATATTTTTTCCGATTTTTTCTGTAAGGAGTTTTTGCAAGCCCGACCAAAATATTGTAGTGTGAGAACATTCCACAAATAAATGTTCAATACTTTCGCCTTCACACTGACAAAAAGAGCAGTTGTTGCTGACATCTGGAGAGAAGCGACAAATGTTATTTTTAACTGGATAATATCTATGTAAAATCTTAAATAAAAATTCTTTGATCCTATTAGTAATTATATATTTATGAGACAATAAAAAGATNGNACNCCACAATTATTATTCCACTCCCATTATGGGAGTGGAAAAAGTTTGTAAGTGAGTTCTGATAAACCCTTTTGTAAATTTCTTATTCATTATATTAGTTCCTTCAATTGAAATCGAGTCATGAAGGTTTAAATTGTTTGGTTTGTGCTAAACAGAGCAAACTATGAGGAACAGCTTTAATAATCATTTCAAATTCTTTTGAGATATTTCTATGTTATTGTTGTTCATAAAATGCTCATAAGTATACCACTCACCATCGCTGTCAAGTAACTGATTTATCAAATTAATATTATTGTCAACCCACTTATGAAGAAATAATGATTTGTTTTTATGTATTATATAAGCATTGTTCCATAAGATGCAGTAATGAGGAGAGTAGTTGTGTTTATATAGAAGATTCCAACATAGCAGAACCTGCTAATGAAATTTAGCTAATTTGGAAGTTTTCCAACTGAGAAAGGACAACGCAATAAAAAATTTAGACCCCCCAGTTTACTGAACAGATGATATGGGAAAATATTAAACATTGAATTTTGATTTTTTTAGGAATCTTTTAATCCAATTAATTTTTAACATTTGATTAAATACAGTAAAAGTCAAACATTTAAACCTCCTTCAGCTAAAGAGTTTGAAAGAACAGATTGTTTTATTTTATGGGCTTTATTTTTCCATATAAACTTGAAGAGAATTTTATCCAGATCAGAACAGAGCGATTTACTAACATCAAGTGATGCGAAAAGATATGACGCCCTTGATATTCCTTCTGCTTTGTTTAATAGTACTGTAGCATAAGTAGTTAAATCCCTAGCTAACCAACTGTTAAATTTCTTTTTAACAGATTCACAAACGGGAGTAAAATTACCCACATTACTGTGGTCAGTGGAGATTTTAATTCCTAAGTAAGTTACGGTGTTTTTTACAGGAATATTACATATTTCAGTAACGGCGGTTGTATATAAGGGAAGGATTCAAATTTTTTTAGATTGAGTTTCAATCCTGAAATGCTAGAGAATTTAGCTATAGCAGCCAGAGCTACAGGAATTTCATTAGAATTTTTTAAAAACACTGCAGTATCGTCAGCATGTTGTGAAATTTTAAGTTCTTGGTCAAATATTTTAATTCCCTCAAATGAGCTCTGTCTAATTAAATAGTTTAAAATTTGACCAACAAGCAGAAAAATGTAAGGGGAGGCCAGACATCCCTGACGAACCCCTTTATTGATATTAAATTGGCTAGATGTGCCATACAGAAGTTTTATAGAACTGTTATCTCTATAAAGTGTCGTAAAGGCTTTAATGAAAAAGTTACCAAAGTTAAAAAAAGACAATGTGTCAAAAATGAAGTTGTGACTAACTGTATCAAAGGCCTTTGGGTCACCAGGGATAAGATCTTTGTAATCAACTAAGTCTAACACTAATCGAATATTATGAGAAACGTTGCGTCCAAGCATGAAGCCGTTTTGAGATTCATGTATAATATCATTTAAACCATTTTTCAGAATCAGAATTACTACCATAAATATTGCCCAGCAAAAAGATGTAAGAGTGAAATTCAACCACTATGAAAATCAAATGACCCTTATTATCAGATGTAACATTACCTTTGAAGTTATATTTTAATATTGCTACACCCCCTGACTTGTTTGAACCATGTGCTAACCATATATCTTTGCCCCATTGATTCTTCCAAAAGGATTAATCTTCTAAGCATGAATGACATTCCTGAAGAAAAACAAAATCTACTCTTGCCTCTTTGGAAAAAAGAAAAAACGCTTTACGTTTTATATCATTACGCAGACCCCTTGTATTAACGGATAAAAATGATAGCTCCGTGCTTTCTGAAAGTTAAAGAAAAGTAATTTAAAAAAACGTCACCCATTTAAGATGACTCCTAAAATAAAATTTGAAGCCACTATCAAAATTAGCTAAACCATTTGTAAAGTGTAGTGTTTATTACTGAGGAAAAAATCATTATTCTCCAGAAGCCCTTCGGATTTCCTTTCCATCCACATAAGCTTTACGACCCACAAAGTAGGCCCTCTCCCCGTTCAATGACAGGCCACGCAGCAGACCTGGCATCCTTGTCTTCCTTGGAAAGGTCTTCTCCGAAACAAAGTTTGTTCTCTCTTAGGTAGATGTTATTTTTCGCACTTCTCCAGATGATGTCCCTCACTGAACGGTAAGCAAACAGGACGATGATTGTCTCTGGTTTTACTGTCGATCCGTTTCCCCAGCCGATGAGCTACGTCGATTCCTTCAGCTGCTTTTGATCCAAGATCAGGTGCAATTTTGTGACAGATGGCTGTAACCTTCTCTTTTCAGATCTCCAATATCTTTACTTTTCTCCGTCTCGCCCGGTTGCATCTCTTGCGATGAATTAGTTTCTTTTTATTCTTGCTTTGTCTGGGTGACCGCTCTCAAGCGTCCTCACTGATACCATCTCCAACGGTTGGTTCTTTCCGGAGTTCCCCGCCGCCGTCAATTGTAGCAACTATTACCGAACAAACATCCAGCACTGTGCCCAAATCAGAATCCTGCCGTCTCCCAATGCCACGTCCAAATATTCAACTCAGAAACAACTTCTCTTGACTGCCGTCTTCCTCCTCGCAAAGCGAGGTGGGACCGTTAGCGGCTAACGAATCCCAACCGCTAACGGCTCTAAGATCCCGGATTTCTGAGTTGATGGTCGATCTGTTTACTTTTTAGTGATGTTGAATATTTATCCAGCAGCGACAGTCAGATGATCTCTGATGAATTTTCTCTATTGATGAACAGAAGAATCACTGCTAACACTGTAATATTCAGCTCACACAGCAGATCCGTCTTTCCTCTTCTCTGCCAACCGCCGGATCCAGTTAGCCGCCTTATCTCGCTCTCTTTTTTTTTATTTTTTATTTCTTGTAAACGATAAAAAACAACTGTGCTGTGTACATATCAGAAAAAATAAACAAAAAACAAAACAAAGTAGTAGTATCATCTGCCAGTTGAGTTAAAGTAACCACTTTATCAGCAATAGTGATCCCTTTTAAAGGACCAGTTTTAATATGAACGGCCAGAATCTGAGCCACCAACAGGAAGAGATAGGGGAGACGGGACAGCCCTGTCTGATTCCTCTGCAGAGGCTAAATCTAGGAGAGGAGCCATTTCTTAGTTTGATGGAGCTGTTACTGTTTTGGTACAAGGTTTTAATGATAGAAGTAAAGACTTTTCCAAAACCCAACTTAGCTAGACTTTGGAAAATAAACTCATGTTCGACCGTATCAAAAGCTTTATAAAAGTCTAAAAAAATATATCAAACCATTATCATGAATAAGATCGGGATAATCTAAAATATCCAAAACAAATCTTATATTATTTGATATGTGCCTATTTTTCATAAAACCAGACTGAGTTTCATCAATAATAGAATGAAGGACAGATTTTAATCTTTTAGCAGCAACTAATGCAAATATTTTGTAATCATTGTTAAGATTACAAAATATTTGTAAATCGTAGTACACTTGAAATCATACAGAGCTAACTTACAAGTAACTTTTCAGACTCAATAATTCATTAATGCTGCTAAAACAAGTACTAGTTTCACTGACAAATTGTTTCACTTATACCTAATACTTTTTCATCAAAATTAAGGAATTATCGGCTTAAAAAAAGGTGCTATATCTTGCTGAAATGTTTCTTGTGAGTTAGTTCTGTACATTTCTATAAAGCATTTAACTAAAATCTTCCTTCTGGAATTCAGAAATTATTTAAGTTAATAGAGAATAAATGTAATTTACAAGGTTTGTTAATATTTGAACATTCTTAAGAGAAAAGTAAAGTCAAATCTATATTTGTTTCTGTCACAGATAGTTGAATGATTATGGGTGAGCTTTAAAATGCAAAGTTATAAAAGTTGTACCCAGGTATATAAAGTTGAACAAGATATTTACATACCGAATAAAAAAAGCACAACACACATTTTTTTTATCACAGGTAAATCAGACCAAACTTTTCTTGTTTTTTCTCAGTTAAAATTACTTGAATTATTTCTATTTGTTAAATGCCAAAAACCTTGGCAAGAAATTTTTTTTAGGTTTTTATTTTTAACTTTCCTCAAATTCAAAAGTTTACATTCATTTGGTCAGTCTGAGGGTTAACCCAAACTGGATGACTTGGGTCTAAATATTTGGGGATTTTATTCAGAGCATGAATAAAATGGTGTAATCAAAAATAAATCTAATCTTAATCTGAATTATGCACTTTAGACGTCTACCACCGCAGGAACTCCCACTGAATAATCAAAATGTCAAGAAAAGCTGTGACGTAATCAAATCATCTAAACAATGTGGTTTTCCTTTGATAAAAGAAATGCTTCAAATCTCAGCAGGTGTGATTGCCTCTGGCTGCAGGTTCTCAGGTAATAAAGCCGAGGCCGTAAATTATGACGACTCAGCAGAGAGCTTTAAATTCAGATTCGGAGGAAGAAAAGAGTCTTTCTTCAGGGCGAGGTGCAGATCCAACACCGTACCAACGCTCTCAGGTGAGACATATCTTCACTTTTTTCTTCTGAATGTCTTATCTAATGTTCTGCACATTTTAAAAGTTGCTTTGTGTGTTTTTGCAGCCTGAATATGACTGTTTCGTACTCGCTAGAAGTAGCCAACGCCAGGTTTCATGGCTTCTCCAGGCTGCTGTTCAGGTGGAAGGGAAGCATCTACAAGCTGATGTATAAGGAGTTCCTGGTTTTCTGTGCTGTCTATCTGTTTTTCAGTGTGTTTTACAGGTAAATTAGCTTATTTAATGTTTTTATTATTATTATTTATGTGGGTCTTTGCTGCAGCATCACTGAATGTTGTTTCTGTATCCAGGTTCCTCCTCACACCGAGGCAGCAGGATCTGTTTGAGCGCGTCGCCCTTTACTGCGATCAGTTCACCAACACCAGCTTCATCCCCGTCCTGTTTGTCCTGGGTAAAACATGACCACCGCACAGAAGAGGATAAATTAACAAATTAAATGAATTTGGAATTTTTCTCTCTCATAATTCTGACTTTAATCTCAAAATTCAGATTTTTTTCCTTCAGAATTCGGATTATAATCTCAGAATTCTGACTTTTCCCTGCAGAAATGTTTAAATATTCAATGAATATCTTCTCCAGGCAAATCAAGTCTTAAAAGTCAAAATCTACAAATAAATTTAGACAGGTTTTCAGTGTGGATAAAATGTAAATTTCTAAGTCCTACAACGAAACTGAACTAGTTATGTGATTATAGTTCATATACTGTACTAACAACATAGTTGGCATACACCCAGGAATGCTTGGTTATTTATTTGGATAAAAAGTCAGAATTATGAGATTTAAAAAGTAAGAAAACTCAGATTAAAATCATAATTTTGAGAAAAAGTCATAATTTTGAAATTAAAGTCAGAATTCTAAAAACAGAAGTCAGAATAATTTTTTTTTTCTTTTTCATTGTCCTCCATCCTCCTCCGTATCATCAGCATCCCTGCTGATCTGAACATGAAGTGAATTTCTTTATTTTTGTTCTGTCCAGGCTTCTACGTGAACCAGGCCTTCACCCGTTGGTGGGGTCAGTACACCAGCTTCCCGCTGCCGGACAACCTGATGATGGTCGTGTCGGGAAACGTGCACGGCGTCGACGACCGCGGTCGCCTGCTGCGCCGGACCCTGATGAGGTACGCCAACCTGTCGTCGGTCCTGATCCTCCGCTCCATCAGCACCAGAGTCCGCAAACGCTTCCCAACGTTGGAGCACGTCGTGGAGGCAGGTAGGAACCAAACCGGAGGAAAACTGCCCCTTATCGGGGCAAATAAAGAGAATATTGGTGTTGACCATTTTAGATGGAATTTAGCATATATGTTTTTTCAGAAATTGTTTTTATGTCAATTTAATTACTTGTTAATTTTCTGTTTTATCTCTGCAGAAATGTTTCTGCTTTTAAACTGCAATGAAACTGAATAAGTAACTGCAAATCTACGAGACATTTTGAGATTAATCTTGGAAATTTCTGAATTCCTTTTGTCAAAACTTTGCTAGAAAAAAACAGAAATTTTCAAATTAATCTCAGAAATTTTATGAAAAAAACAAGGAAATTTCTGAGTTTGAAACGTTGAAAATATGTGAAAAGATTCAGAAATTTCAAGCTTAATCTCAGAAATTTGTAGAAAAGATAAGAAATTTCTGAGTTAGAAAAGTTGAAAATTTGCTTAAATAAATAAAACATTCAGAGATGAATGTATTACAGAACATTTCTCAGATTATTCTGAAAAGCTTTTATGTTTTTGGTAAAAATATGGTCCTTTTTATTTCTATCTAAAATAAGCCTAATACACCATTGCATATCATTTAGTGTCTGTACATGTAAATTTTTAAATTTTCCCACAGATACTCATTTGGATTTATGTCTAAACTTTGACTGGACCTTTCAAACTCATAGATATTCTTTGATTTAAGCCATTATTTGTGGTTTTGTTTGTATGTTTAGGGTTGTTAATGTTCTGGATCAATATCAACACCCTGTGAAAATATTGTTCTTCAGGATTCTCCTGTATTTAACTTCATTTATAGACCAGTTTACCAGTCAGACCACTTTCTTCTCGTTTGCTCTGCTCATTGCTTGGCGTAAACCTTCAGTGGGAAACAGACACTTTTTGACAGGTTTGATCTTACAGATGATGGATTGAACTGAGCTCCATGAAATGTTCCACTCTTGTTAAATTGTAATCAGACTCTCCTTAAATCATCTCCACAACAATAACTGAATAAGATACAAGGTTATGTAACGCAGCAAAAACATGACATTGAAATACAGATATGCACTTACAGTTTGTATACTAAGACAAGTTTCTCATAAATCACTGTTATAATAACCTGGCTGGTTTCCTGCACACATATTTTCAACATCCTCCACATGAGGGCAGTGTAATCTAAAACTATAAAGAACATATTATATGTAAGACATTTACATTCAGAGAAAAATTAAAGTGCATTAAATGTTTGTCTAAACACTTCTCATGAAAGATCCACACTGCAAAAATACAAAATCTTAGTTTCTAGTGAAAATATGTTGCATTTGAAATAAAAAAACATACTTTTTATTAACTTTCCACCAAGATAAAGGGGCTTATTTAATGTAAATTATTCCTTAATATTGATGAACAAATACTAGTTCAACTGGCAGATTATTTCACTTATAGCAACATTTTCCCCTTTTTATAAGTGAAATAATCTGCCAGTGAAACTAGTACTTTTTCATCAATAATTAGGAATTATTGACTTAATAATTTATTGAGTTATATATGTTATATAATATGTTATATATTATATCTGGCTGAACAAACTTCCAGAAAACTGAAAACAGCTGAAACTGAGTTCCTTTAACTCAAAACTAAAAATTGATGCTAAAATATTTTCATGACTGACTTCCTGTTTAATGTTTGTGCAGGATTCATGACGACACACGAGCTGAAGAATTTTGAGTCTCTTCACTCTGATTTCAACAAGTACTGGATGCCTCTGACCTGGTTCTCCAACCTGGCGGCCCAGGCCCGGCAGGAGGGCCGGGTCAGGGACGACATCGCGCTCAGGCTGCTGATGGACGTGAGCGGTTCTTCTCTACAAATAAAACACAAACTACTTTATGCACAACGTACTTCTGTTTCTATATGTGTATATTTGCTTTTTCTGGGTTTCTGAAGGTCATTAGTTTCTCTTTGCAGTTTTTTTTTTCCACACAAAAACCTTACAAGCAGGGGCGATCCTAGCCTGTTCGGGAAAAAACTATAAATTAAGATAAACTCAAAGGAAGTAAAGTGCTGTATAGATGAAATAAAACACCTGTATGTGTGATGTTTTAATTTTTTCTTGTACTGCGTCAATAGGAGCTGAATAATTACCGAGCCAAATGCAGTTTGCTGTTCCACTACGACTGGATCAGCCTCCCTCTGGTCTACACTCAGGTACAGTCTGGAAAATCACTTAAAATCTGCTGTTTTCAAACAGTAATTTATTTTTTATTTTAATCATTGAGAAGTTAGGTATTAATTAAAAATAATGATAAGATGCAACGCAACAACAACTACTTTTAAATTGATTCTAAGCCTGAGTGGGAAACATCAGGCTTATTGTCAGAACAGTCAGACTAATAAATAGGACCAATAAGGTCTCAGCTGATATCAATACTGATACCATATTGGTATCAGTATTTGATTGATACTAGAGTGGTCAATAAATTAGCTCAGGTTTGTTTGCTTTTCTATTTTGCATCAATTTTGTCCCAATTTTATCCTTTTTAACAAAAATAATTAAACAAACACATGAATGTCAGATGTTTAATTTTGTATAAAGCCTAAATAATAAAAAGTATCGTTATCAGTATTGGTATCAGTGATACTGGCCCTGTACTTACCTGGGATCGGATCAATAATAAAATACACACCTTTAACCAAAAATACTCACATGTTGGCATCATTTGGCATGTTTGGATTAAAATGTTGAACCAAACAGGCAGTAGGGCCAGTATCTCATCTGATCTTCACCTCAAATTCAGAAATACTTAATTTATCCCAAAGGGAAATTAAAAGTTGTTGAAACTCATATTAATTCAACATTCATCAAAGAGTTATTGAATGTCCCTGTTTGTGACCTTAGTTACCTTATTACTGTGATTGTTTTGAACTTATACGCCTCAAACTTCCCATCCTTGTTCAGAACTAAAGATGCCTTTAAGTATAATTTGGGATTATTATGATGCCAGAGAATCAACACAAACGTTTTGCTTGTGTACTTATCCTGTAACTGTTTGTTTCATTCTCATACAGGTCGTAACCATTGCAGTTTACTCTTTTTTCGCCTTCTGCGTCATCGGCCGACAGTTTCTGAATCCTGAGAAGGGATACAGTGGTCACAGATTTGACATGTACGTCCCGGTTTTCACCCTGCTGCAGTTCTTCTTCTACACCGGCTGGCTAAAGGTGACCTGACACTCCTTCTTTACTGTATTTCAGGAAAGACATTCTGTATTATTATCTTTAATATATAGCTAAACTTCTGAGTCACAGGCTGCTATGGCAACCTCATAGCATTCCATGGTTGCTATGGAGCCATGGTATCCTAGCAACCTGATCTGAGCTCTGCGGAACAGGAAGCACAAAGCTGGACAGGGAACAAACAAATAAATAAAAAAACAGTTAAAAAACTATGGAGAAGCAAATTTAGACTAAGAGTGGAAGCAGCTTCTATTCACAGCTGTAAATGTTTATGAGTCTTCAGGGTTTTATGTCGAAAACATAACAGGGTAAAGGGAACGTTTGATTCCTGTTTTGAAAGGAAAACGTCTGAGCGTAAATATAATGGTGGTGAATTACTTTGGCAGAAATACAAACTCTGTCATGAAAAGCCCAACTGCCATAACCTATTAAATGTTGAAAGGATTATTTATATGGTAAAATATGACTTGGTATGGTATTTTAAGTTATTTCTCACACATTTCAGCAGATTTTTTAGCAAATGTTATAAATTCAACACTATTACCAATCAGACCTTATATTACAACATGATGAGAAAATTATCAAACCAATTAGAAATAAGTGTGGTTTGATATTTCTGCATTGACAGTCTTGTAAGAGTGTCAGTACTATGCGGTAGCTGGTCTAATTCCATGGTTTTTTGATTAATTTTAAGAGTAAATGCTATCAAGACTAGTCCTTCTAACTCAGTAAAATCATATTTAAGTAGTTAAAGTTGCTTTTTTTGCATCTGTTTTGTAGGTAGGAGAGCTCATCATCAACCCTTTTGGTGAAGACGACGATGACTTTGAAACCAACCAGCTGATCGACCGAAACATTCAGGTTTGTGTTTCAGCGGCTCGCTCTGACACAACCAGACCTAAAATATGGATTTTAACTTTACTCTCATCTCCTGCAGGTTTCAATGCTGGCTGTGGACGACATGTACCAGAACCTGGCTCCGGTGGTGAAGGACAAGCACTGGAAGAACGGCCTCTTCTCCGTCCCTTACACCCAGTCGACGGCAGCAGAGACGTTGAGACCAGCGTTCAAAGGCTCCACTTTCGACATGAGGTGAGAAGAAACTACAATTTATCTTCTCAGTAAGTCAGTAAAAGAAGAAACAACATGAGTTTGAGCAAAAGAAACCCAGATTTATTTGAGAGGAACACACTTTAGTTTCATTTTACAGGTTTTCAACACAAAACAATGAAAATAACTTTAATAAAAAATGTAATTAAATCAATCCAGTTTATTTTATAGCACATTTCAGCAACATGGCAGTTCAAAGTGCTTTACAACATGAAAACATAAACATCATATAGTCAACAGCTGTGAAAGCCAATAACAGACATTACATTTTGTCAAGAGACATTGTTAAGACATCAGTACACATCAAACATGTTAATGTTCCACTTATTACGGTTCAAAAGCAACAATATATGCAACAACTGGTTAAAATTCTGCATTTAAATGCAAAATAACATAGTTTCAGATTTATTTGCTCAAGGATAAGATATAAAACAATGTTAAAATTAAAATAACCTGTTTTCTTCACAATGAGTCATTTTACCCAAGACTAATTTACAGACCTGTTGGTTAGGCTTTTAAAAGTTAACATTTAAAAGAAACCAAAATAAAACTGACAACAAAATATGACTTCAATACAATAATAAAGTACAGTTTAGAAACAATCAAGCTAAGAGGGTTTAGCCTTAAGCAAAATTTAATTTAGTTGCTGAATTAATCATGTATATTTTTTAACTGCAGTAGACTTTCCCTTTATAGTATCATTATTAAAACAAACAGAAATCCCTTTATGATCCACACAATATTCATGGATTTAATGATTTTTATCTTCAACTTTTCATCTTATTATGAAAACACGTACCTTAGTATTTATGTTACACAGAAAAATAAGTGCCAACAAAGAAAATAACACCTAGAGTCCCCACTTACAGTCCCAACAAGGACAATAACATTCGGAAGTCAGATAGGACAAAATTAAAGACTTGGCGTCCATTTCAGATTCAGAAAGCTCAAGTGTTTGTTCTTCCTGCATTTTATTCCAGGTTCTGGGTCCAAAGTAACTAAATCTGGTTTTTCCAACTTCGGTAGAGGCCTTTGGCTCCTGCAACAAAATGCAATCACCTGATCTGGCTTCATCTTTGACAAGCATTGATTTAATGTAAGGGGGTAAAAAACCCTTCAGAGCTTTGTAAATAAATAGTATCATGTTTCTCTCACGCATCAGAGAGGGACAAAGCAATCTCATTTCATGATACAGCGTATGATGATCAGCATCATCTCCATGCCCTTGGATAAATTTTAAAGCAGAATGATAAACATCATCCAGCTGTGTGAGAGCTTCAGGTGAGGCATGCATGTACAAAATGTGACCCTTATGAAACTTGGACAGAAATTCTTTTCTANCTGCACCAGTACAGCACACTTGAATACACCAATAGCTTCACAAGTTTGGTCCAACGTGTAAAAACAACAAAACTTTGATTTGTTCAGTCACTTCCGTCAGATTAAGGTCCAAAACTTTCGCTTTACAGCTGATCCACATAAAAAACCCAAAGAACAAATGGTACAAATCACGCATTTCCCGAATCCCAAAAATATGACATCTACCTTTGCTGTTTCATAATTATAATCCACGTAAATCTTTCCACTCGGCTGTTATAATCTATTGTTGCTTTACACAACATAATTTTTTTCCGATATTTTGCTTAGAAAATGAGGTTATGAAGTTACATTCTCCTGCTGCTTTTTGTTTTTAAAATAGTAAATTTAGGTTTGCCTCAACTTATAAACTAATGCCTCTTCTATGCATCATTTTTTGTATTACTGTTGGTACAGATATTAGGCAGACAATGTGCTTTGCCTGCTAGTAGCTTAAATTAATTTCAGCTGCACTTTCAAGAGTATTTAGATTTTAACATGCATTTTCTAAGTAGTAAATATTTCAGTTCACTCTTAGTAACTTCAGTGTTGTTGCACCTCTGAAACATTTTTTGCAGTTTGTGATACCAGAACTATTTCTCTTAAACATTTAATTTCCTGAGATATTGCAAATTTATTTTCAAGCAAAACTCTCAAAAATGCATCACAACACCATGTGATGTGTTTCTAAACCATGATTGGGCCGCTGTGCCGATTACCTTTCCATTGGATCCAAGCACCTGGACCCGCTGAGGGCGTCCTTTAGTCCATGGTCTGCCGGACCATCACAACGTGGACTCACTCTTTATTTACAGTACTTGGTTAAATTAGGACCAGATATGCAAAAATCTACCTGCAGACTTTGTTGGGGCTGAGCCGGGCTTCCTCTCCTCCAGAGTTTTCATCACCAGTAAAGACAAACAACTCTGATGTCTGATTAGCTGCTAGGAAGTATATTATATATTCACTGTTCATTTTGCTATCCTGTTTGTTCCTACAATAAAATTGTATCTCATTTGTAATATTCTACATTTCAAACCTTTTCCCCTTTTCTGTTTGTTTTATCAAGTATTTGCATGTAGATCAGGAATTCAAGTGAGATATTAAAATGCAACACTTTTAGGTAATACCAGCAAAGAAATGTGAATATTAATATGTAGTCATAATTTAATATATTGAATAAGGCTGGATGATAAGATTTACAAGATTTTTTTTCATACCAGATTTGATTTTAATCGATTCCAACCGTCCTCAATTTCTATAATAAAGTCACAGAAAATACTTTCAAAAAGTTCCTTTATTTCAATCATCTGTTCTGTGAGTTGTACAAGAGCACTAAGGTCAGGCTACGAGAATCTTTAATTGCAAGAATGCAGTCATCATTACAGCAGAATAAAGATGCAAGTTTATAACAATGTCTGTCATGATGGGCTTTACCGATTTCGCCCACATGCAAGAACACCACTGGAGACAAATGAACAATAATACAAAGTTTATTTACGAAGAATAATCAGATGTGGATCGGGCCCTGGGATTGAACGGCTGCACCCTGAGGAGACAATAGGGAAGATGGTGAGTTCAAGGTTGTTGGAATTGAGATGATTTGTTGGCGGTAAATTTGCTAACTTACTTGAGCTGTGTGCATCAACGGCGTGGGAGAAGCAATGTTGGTCCTGGGGTTCTTTAAAGACTCTGGGATTCTTTCTCTGTCGGGTTTGGAGATTTGACCAGTGAGGCTGAGCGGCTGGCAGAGGAACAGTGAGCGGCGTTGGAGGACGGACAGATAGGCTGACACTTGAAGGCAGCAGTGAGTCGGTGGAACGACTGGTTGGAGCTCCGCAGAAACAACGGCTACAGGCGAGTCCGGGAGCTCGGGCATTGACGGGGTAATTGCCCCTGACGTCGCGAGGAGTGAGCAAAAAACTTGGAACCGGATCCAGATTCAGAGGAATCCTGAGAAGAGCAAAAATCACAATGAGGTAAACTTTCTAACAGCAGGGGAAAAAGACAGATTACCAGGAGATAACTGGGAGCAAACTCTGAGGGGCTTAGAGGAACCATCACAGGTTGACGCTCGGCGCTCCGCCTCTCTTAAGCTGCCGAGATGATTGATCCCTGGTGTGGGGATGACGTCATAGGACGAGCCCACCGCTCAGCCGCCTCTCGGACTCCATCTAGTGGGGAATAAAATGAACAGCCGCCCCAAGAAACCCCAGAACCAAACAATCTTAAAATTACAGGAAGTCGTTTTAATGAGAAATAAAGATTCAGATTATTTCTCACTGCACTTGAAGGCAGTGAGAAATAACTGCCTTCAGTGGACACTGCCTGTCCACTGCCTGTCCACTGCCTGTCCACTGCCTGTCCACTGCCTGTCCACTGCCTGTCCAGGCAGTGGACTGAGCTGATGTAACCAGCTCAGTCCATGTGGTTCTGACAATTGTCAGTAATCAAGAGAATACACACTGCCACCTCAACTGACCAGGTAAGCATTAAGGTAAAAAAAAATAAAAATAGAGCAAAGTTGTTGGCAGCATTAGCTCAGCCGATCCTCCCTCCAGGAAGCCATCAAACAGATCTGTCCAACTCCAGCTATAATAAAAAAAAGAAAACGGAAAGTTAAAATAACAAATAATGCCAATGTAATAATTCACATCTAATGCGTTCTGGACTCTATTATTGATATTTTACAAATTTCACAAATCAATTACAAGGTTTCACAAATGTTTTCTTTATTCTGCTGTTGGTGCAGAATAATCTGGTTAGGTTTGAAATGACTAGGTGTTGTAGTTTTTAAAGTACAACACATTAAAAAAGCTCAAGATACTGAAAAATTAAGTGTAATCGCCCTTTAGCTATTTTCCAAATTAGATGCTACATTCGAAAGCTAACTTCAGCTTTAATTGATATCTTGGGCACAATATAGATCTATACATGCTTATATATATATATCTATAAAGCAAAGATATGTAGATTGCACACTGCACAGATAATCAAAACACTTAACGTTTACATAGCACCTTTGTAAGTTTGTCCCTGTTAGCTACGTCAGACATATGAGGCATTATGGTGAATACAAACGATTTATTAACTCACCTTTTAAGTTATTGTGAAGTTTTGACACATCCAGGTGCAAATACTTTGTTTATTGTTGGAGCGTTTCAGGACGTCTGAATAATTATATAAGCATCGTTAATAGTCCTACAACAACCGAGGAGCCATTTTTAACATACTGCTGCCTGAACACAGGAAGCATTCTATGTGGCAAAAACAACAAAAAAAAAAAAAAGTCCGTGCCTTATACCCCATTGCGTCGTGCGTCATGGGCAAAAGGTCAAAGGTAACAAGGTTGTTTCTTGAAAAACAATAAATAAATAATAATAATAATGAATAAATACATTTTAGTACATGTTATGTGTCAGAGGGCTTAGGAAATAATAATAATAATAATAATAATAATAATAATACAAAAAAAAAAATCAAAAAAAAAATTGACCAAAAGGGCACTTGGGGGCAAGAAAAAAAAGGGGCAGGTACTCAGGCTCCTCTAGCCCCCCCCCTCTGCACGTGCCTGCTCTCGTCTATCCATTTGAAGTTGTTTCTGTCTTTGTTTAGGTCTGACGACA